CCCATAATACTTGTCATATGGCATAACAATTCATCTTTTTATTTTCCACTTTAATTTTACTTCTAATATGTATTCCTTAAAGGTCACCCACATCTTTCTGTATAATGTCATGATCCTTCTCCATATCAACCACCAACTTTGTGCAAATTCCTAAGCTCAAATAACAATATGTGAAAGTTTTTTACCAAGGGAATCCATAAGCAACTCCACCAGCAACTCAGCCCAATTTCTGGCTCCAACCAAATCCTTTGGTTTCACCTGTTTCTCAGAACTACTAGAAAGACACTGATTAACTTGTGGTTATCAGCAGATCTACCTTTTGTTCTTTCCTTTGAGAAACACTGACAAGTCCCTTTCTCTTCTGCCTCACTGCTACCCAAAGTTGGATACTTCCTTTTTGAGTATAAGCCCTTGCATAAGGGAAATTAAATACCTCAAACTGGACTCTGAAAACACGTATTAATGTCTACTTGAGATATCCTAATTTAACCCAAACTAACTTGTTATATACCTTTCTGGTCGCATCTGCTAATGGTAACCGAATTTGAGAATGAGCTTCACGACCTGCTTTCCCAAAGCAGCTGAGATATAAACAGCTCCAACAGAACAAACAGGATGGCAAGAGCATCTTCACCGGCCTTCTCCTTCCAAGCCACGTTTCTCATCATCAGTCAGGACAGAGAAAACACAGGCAAACTCCCAGAACCCCACGGCCCAGCATGCCGGACAGCAGCACAAACAGTAGCGCCACCACCCCTTCCTTCGGTCGGAAGCTCGGCACTACCCTCCCGGGAGCGGGCTGCCTGTCCTGTCCTAGCCAGGGCGAGAGCGGGTAGTCGAGCTGGAAGCCGCCCGGGGGCTGCCCTCCCGCACGCCACAGGGAACCGGCCTGTCCTGAGGCAAGGGACGAGCACCACGGCAAACCCCCGAGCTCCGCCAACCCTCCAGAAGGCGGTCCCGGCCGGCGCTCAGCCCCTGCAGGCCTCGGGACAAGCAGAGGGCCTCTGCCTGACCCCCATCC